GGGATCGTCTCGCTTTGTGCCTGAAGGATCGTTTCCTTAAGGCACAGCCACCCTTCTTGGGCTCCCATCACTTCAAAACTCCTACTCTGCAGTGCGTCCTTGACTAATCGCCTGAGTTCATTGAAATCAGCTTTCCTAAAGTCCAGCACTTTCACCCTACTATTTACCTTACCCACTCGACGTCTTATGGTGAATTCTATTATTAGGTGATCACTGTCCCCCAGATGGCTACTGATCTGTAGGTCCTCTACCATGTCATCCCCCGTTGCCAATACCAGATCCAGTATGGCATTCCCCCTAGTGGGACTGTGTACCTCCTGTGTCAGGTGGAGGTCCTGTACACAGGTTAGAAACCTACGTGAGCGGTGGGACTTTGCTGTCTGTGACTCCCTGCAGATTTTCGGGTAGTTTAGGTCCCCCATGACTACTGCCTCTTTAGCTTTTATGGTCTCCGAGAGTTGCCTCAGGAGCCCTGAATCCCTTTCTTCCCCTTGATGTGGGGGTCTGTAGCAGACCCCTACCACCAAATCCCTTTCTCCTTGCCCCCCATGTAGCCTAACCCACAATCCTTCTACCTCCTCATCCTTGGATTCCGTCTTGATGAGGGTTGACGTATATTGCTCACTGACATAGAACGCAACCCCTCCCCCTTTCTTCCCCACCCTGTCCTTTCTGTACAATCTATAGCCCTCAATATGTACTGCCCAGTCGTGGGATGAATCCCACCAGGTTTCCGTTAGCCCCACTAAGTCATAGGTGTTTAGTGCAAGCAGGAGCGCTAGTTCATCCTGCTTGTTCCCCATGCTCCTAGCATTAGTATATAGGCACTTGAACCCTGCGACTGGTGCCTTTGCTGCCCCCCCGCTCCGAGTCCCAAGGGGCCCTTTGTTTCTTACCTTCTCGTTTCTTACCTGTGTCATAGTGCTGGCCTCCAATTAGATTGTGTATACAAATATATTATCACCATGAGGATGCATGGTTCTTAGGTTATAGTAATCTGAGATTTCACTTGTCTGAAAATTGCTATCAGAGATAAGTAAAACTGTGTCTTGGTAGTTTGTTAATATCTTTATATAGGGAATGTCTGCTCAGCATCTGTGTTTTTTTTTTTGCATGTACAGTTTAAGGATATTCTCGTAATGAACATCCTTCTAAGCCCCTCTTTCTCTCTCTCCCCCTCTAGTGTGTGATAACATGGATATGTACACATCAGCCAGCCCTTTCCTATGTATGGATCTCACTTACATCACTGCTTTACTCAAAGAAGGCTTTGGATTTGGGGATAACACACTCCTACAGGTGAGAGAAGCAATGCAGGAACCCAGCATTGGCATCCCTGTATCTCTGGTGAATAGGGCATATTAGCTTGCTGCTTCATTCCATGTGTGCAGTGTTAGGATGAGTCAGAGGTTGCACTTTACACAGTCACTGCTTTGGCAAGAGATTAATTAACTGCAGCCATTAGGTGATTTGCTGCAGTGATGTAGTATGAAGAGTACTGAAGAGGGCCAGTTCAGCATTTCCTTCCCTGCTCAAACTTGATTCAAAATGTAGATTTTGTTTAAAATAATAATGCCAGTGATGCAAGGTTTTGAAAATCCAAAAGCTTTTGAAAATAAAATTCCTAATTTAAAGAATATCTAGTGGAAACAGCTGTTTTAGAACAAAACCTAGCTTTACAGCACATACAAACCAATCATGGGAAAACTGAGCTGTCCCTCCTAGTGTTTTGGCTGCCTAAACAGAGGGAAGACTCACAATATAAGTGACTGTTATTAACCTAGACTTAAAAGGGAAGGAAATGCTTGTTTACCACATCTGTTTATGAGCTAAAGCTTTTGGCTGTTCCTGGTTTTCAACTCTTCTTATGTCCTGTGGCTGTCTGCCTCTTACTTATCCTTAGTAATTTGCACAGAGACACTCGGTGGTGATTGCTCTTTCCTCTTAAGTAACAAGGTACACCTTGCAGTTGTCAACCCCTTCTCCTACCCTGTTAAATAAATGCCCAGCTGGCATGAGTTCTGTCACCCAACCTGCTGATTCTTGCCATTGAACAAGCAACATGCAGGCTCCCTTATGACATTCAAGTGGCTGGTTCCTTTCTTCTGACCATGTGTCTCCAAATACTTCCTAAGCCCTACCTTCCAATTCCTAACCATCCACTAGTTGTTATTTTCTATATACAGGGTTATAGGTGAGTGTGCAGTACTGTATAAAGAACAGTTTGTGTGCCAGAAACCTCTTTAAATGGAAGATATGACAAGGATTGCTGTAGGGAGATGAAAATAAGCCAAATACTGTTTACCTCAAGTAAGGAGATAGGCCAGCTTGTTTCACAATGGGCACCTTCATGTATTCTGCTGGTCCAGATGGGAGTGGCTCAACTGGAGAGAATGCAAGGAAAGGGGGATTTAGGGAAATGTGAGAGGAAGGAGGGCACACAGAGGTCCTTGGGGGGGAAAATGATATGCGGAGAATGTGGAAGAAAGTATCCAAGTCAAAAGGGTGCAGTAGGAAATAAGATGTGGATAAATCCTTGATATGGAAGCACCTGAAGACAGGCTTGGAGTAGATGAGTATTTTTCATGGGCAAAGCATTAGGAGAGGAAGAGAAGTTTGACAGCAGCCAATATATACTCCCTGTCTCCTCCCACGGTCATCCCACTGGATCCTACTGTCAGTGTGCATGTACCTCATTAGCAAACTCAGAATCTGTTCGAGACAGCAGTGTCCCATCAGCCATGCATGCACCCATACTTCCTTGTGCATCCTGGCAAAGGCAGAAATGGTGGGGTAATTATAGTCCTCCCACAGTTCCCTCTTACTACCTATAGTAACCAGAAGGAAGCCTGGAGACAGTCTAACCTGCAACTTATTCCTGAGCCCTCTTCAGTCAATGTTCCTACTATCTCTGAAGAACTACCTTAATCTAAAATAGCACATTTAAAAAAGATCACAAATGATGTAGAGTACTTCACACTCCCCCCCACCATGGTAGAATCTAAGGCCAATGGGCTTAAACCCTGTCTGTCATGCCCTTAGTTGATGGACACAGTGGATGTATGATATGTGTCCACCTGCAAGACAGAACAAGCAAGTGCTTGATCTGTCATTCCCTTTTATCCTGCCCGTGAAAATCAAGAGACGTGAGGGAATCTCAATCACCATTAGCACCATTGGCCAGAACCTGCAGATCTGAACTAGGGAAAGTTTATCAGGAATCAGGACTTGTTCATGAGGATAGATGAAACCATAAACATTTAGACAATGGTTTCATATTTAAAATACTATGCATATGATGTTTAATGTTTTTCATTCTTTGAGATTTGCCGTGAGCCTTTTATACAAAGTGGCCTCATTATTTCCTCCTAGAGCCATACAGAGGAGGTTCCATAAGAAGACAATGGAACAGAGGCTTGTACGTCTGATTGTTTCCTTACTCCAAAGGAGAAAGGAGGTCTTATCCAGTCCTAAGCTTGAGGCTGAACATTTGTTGAACATGCAACAATGTAATGAAAATGCTTGCCTGCTCCTTTCCAGGTCTCCAGCCTAGGATTGCTTTTTGGCTTTTGATTTACTGGATGTATACTACTTCCCAGCCCACAGAAAGTATTAGAGCTTCATTGTAAGGCCAAATCAGTACCAGTATCACAGATCAGGCCATGTTCATCCACAGCAGTTATGGCTGCAAACCTGTTACAGATAGCTGTGCATCCATTGATCTGGCTTCTGGACCAACCAGACCTCTTGCTGAAAGATCAGGATCAAGTATTCCACTCAGCTCTGAGGCTGCTGCATTTGATGCCTTCCGTGCTTGAAAGGGAATGGACATAGATTTGCTTGGGATGGTTTAAACAGAGACAACCCTGCCTTGAGCAGGGAGGTGCACTATATGACTTTGTGAGGTCCCCTTCAGCCCTACTTCCCCATGATCTGTAGAAAGTTCAGGACATCCTAGCACAGAGCAGAATTCCATCTAAATGAAATGAGGGTGGCTCAATATGGCTTAGACCTGGCAGAGATACCAAAGACTCTAGGACTTTTGCTGCAATTGAGATACTTTAGATTTTCCTTTAACTCATCTCGGGTCCACCTGGCAGCAATACTATCCACAAAAAAGTGGTTCCTACCAAAACATTTGTTCTCAGTCCTCTCTTCCATGATACTATTTAAGATTCTTTGGGGTGTAGGGTTTTTGAACCCGAAAGCTTGCTTAATAACTATTCTCCAACCATTTGAGTTGGTCTAATGAAAGATATCAAATTCACCCAAGGAACCTTGTCTACTTGAATCCCTAGTACTCAGCCCTGGCATCTCAGTGTTGTCCTTTGAAACTTACGGACCTCTCAGTGTTTTGTCCAACATCTCACCTTCCAAATAAAATAGTCTTTCTGGTGGCCATCCTGCCCAGCAGAAGAATGAATGAGCTTCCAGCATTCATGGCAGAGCCCGTTATACCTCATTTCACAGGGACAGGGTAACATTGAGACCTAATGCAGAATTCATTCCCATGGTGGCTTCTGAGTTCTACCTAAAACATTCAATGAATGTACCTCGCTGTTGTTTCCAAAACTGCATACCACAAATGGGGAGAAAATATATCCAAATGCTTTGATTTTGCGTGACTTGACCAAAACTTTTATACTGTTGCATCATCTAATTATGGTTAATACTGGCTACTCTATGGGCTAGAGAATTTCATCTCGGAGTCTGTCAAAACCAGTAACAGTGTATCTTACTGCACAATCCACTGACTGATGTCCCCATGTCTCAGACCTTTAAGAATCGGTCCACTAGAGCCCAACCATGGTTTTTGGCCTGCTTCTAAAACATACCAATACCAAAACTTGACATAGCTAGTGCGGAGCAATCTGCTCTTGTTTGTAAAGCATCATGCACTGGGTTTGGCTGCTAGATGCAGTGTCAGATCTGGGAGAGTGGTAGCCCAGGCTCTGCTTGTCAGATGCAGCTGGTACTCCTCCCTGACCATCTCAAGAGGATGGTGAGTACCTGTCACCTACTATGAGATTTGCAAAAACTGGTTCTTTAAGAGGTTATCAGTGGAGATTCCATTTTCTGTTCCTACTTCTTACACTGCTCAGCAGCCCCAGGCTTAAAGTTGTGAAAGAATTAAGGAAGGATAGCAACCTTTATGCCCTTACATGGGAACAAGCAGACATGGGACACATTTACAGCCCAAGTGGACAGGACTGCTCAGACAAGATTCCAGCTACACACAAGGCACAGGAACATGTAGTGAGATCTGGGAGGACTTCAACAACTTGAAAAACTGCAGTTACCCTTGGGCAAATAACCATTATTTCCTTCATATGTGCTCCCATCCAGATATGTGATCCCAGCCCTCCCTGGTGCTGTGGGGTTTCTTTGTGGAGAACAGCTTGATCCTAAACATTCTCAGGGTTAATGCAGTTCCTCAGGAAGGCCAACACAGGGATCATTCTTCTAACCAGTCACACAACAGGAAGGAAGAAAATAATAAACATTTAGATTTTATTCCATTTTTTGTGTATTTGTTGAGAAAAGTTCTTATGGTCAGATGTTGACAGTGCATAGTTGTGCAACTGGACAGATCTCAGGTAGAGAACATCTAAGAAGATGCTAGCAAAGAAAGTTTTTAGGCCAGTCCATGTAAAGACACCCTAGAGCTAGGGAGTATTTCCTACCATGAAGGGCAAGGTGGACACATTCATCCCCTTGCTGTATTTGCCTTCTTTTTTCTCCCATAATCTGATTCTTAATTTTTCATTCCTGTCAAATTGTCAGTGACGAGCAGGACCTGAAAGGCAGCGGGCAAAGAGGAGGTGGGTGGTGAAAAGTGGCATTTGGTGGAGAAAATGACAAGCTGAAAGGAACAGTAGTCCTGATTTTTCCACAGATGAGTACAGTAGCCAATAAAGGAGAAGTCCAGCCCAGGCAGGCAACACCCCACCCACACACAAAGTAGCTGCAAGGTAACTGGTCTTAAAAGGAGAGATATCAGTGTTACTCCTTGTTCTTTTTTAAAGCTTCCTGATTCCCTAACACTCTTGGCCATGTGCAGTTGGAACTAGTTCTTCCAGCCAGTACCCTTCATGCTTCTATTTGCAAAGCAGTAACTGCAGTTCTTTTAAGTTTGTGGCAACAGTGTAGGTCTGGGAGATGTGCTGAAACTGACTGCTTTCTTTCTTCATAGTTAACAAAGAAAGTGAACAACATAGAGACAAGCTGGGCCCTGGGTGCTACATTTCATCTGCTGCAGTCTTTGGGGCTCACCCACTGAAGTGCACCCCTGTGGACACTGACCTTTCCAGAAGGAAGCAAATTAAATTCAAATCTCAATATGCACTGCACAGCTGGAGTCAATCCTGCAGCAAAACATGGACCAAAGTCACGGAATCAGTTTCCCCAAAGGCAGTTTCTGGCTGCTGTCTGCTAGGTTCTCGTGAAGTGGGAGCTGCTCCAGTACAGTTTATGAGTAATGTGAATGCCTAAATAGATGCAGAAGCTGCCCCCTCAGAGCCAGAGGACCTCAACTCCAGCTGAGTAGCCTGATCAAAGACAAGGAGCTGAGAGGCAGCTTCAACTAATGCATCTGTGCACACAGCCTGTTACCAGCTGTTCAGTGTCATCATGCTCTGCAGGCTACAGAACTTTGACCTGTGACTTTTTTTTAATATATGAAACTGAAGCTTGGCCCCAGGGAATTAAAAAAAAAACACCATAGGCATTCATAGCAGAGCAAGTTCTCCCTGTTGGTGTAATCCTCCTTGTTCAAGGTACTTAATCACTGGGAGACAGACTAGCTAATCCTGGAAGGGCTTCAGCCTTTCAGGATTTGCCAGTTTGGGGAGTGGGGGGCAGGAGGGGCGTAATAGCTGCAAGTGTTTCTTGGGAAGGCCTTTGGCTGAAGCTGAGAGTCATTGGCTCTCTTGGGGTTGGCAGCCAGGATCCTTCTTTCCTGCTCTTCCCTTTGATCAGTGCAATGCTAAGAACAGCATGGAACCAGACTCCAGTTCTGCGTTCAAAGGTTGGTGGTTAAGGAACTATGGTAAAATAGAAGCAGATGCTGAAGTACAGGGGAACAGGGACATAAACCATGGGCTAGGGCAAGAGAGAGGAGTCAATTTGGTTCCTGTTCTTCAGCTCAGAATCTGACAGATCCGTTCACTCCTCTTTAGTTGTGCCTTAATCCTTAGAACCACAGCACTAGAACTCCTGCTCCCACTGGCTTAATGCAACAGAACTGGGCCCATAGCACACAAGTCTAAGCCAGCCAGGGAAGTGGGGAGAGTGTAGGTGGAACATACAGCTCCCATTTTATACAGCTATTCCAGGCTCCCTGCATTAGGGGTTGTTTTTAATGACTTATACAGCTGGTCTGTAGAAACAGGACCCCATTTCTTCCCCAAGCCAGCACTGCATTAGGCCATTGATCTAATAGTTTGTTTATCAAAGGGCAGTCTTAACGCTTAACATGAAAGAGACTATAGGAGTAAACACAGGTTAAATATTAAACCAAAAATGGTCCCCATCAGATGGCTTAGAAAAGTGGTTCTATGGAGACACGAGTGTAGTGGAATCTTAGCTCTCTGGCTCGATCAGCTCCTGGTAATACCATGATGATAAAATACCTTGCCTTGTTCAGCACAAACATACTAGTTCCAGGATGAAAGAGCGAATGGTCCACGTAGATAGCATCTGAGAACTAGCTGATTTAGCCATCCCCTATTCGGAGCCACTGCGGGGATGCAAGGAACCAGCAACCAGAGATAAGATCAGTTGCCTCTACAAATGGAGGGGATGGATGATGCAAACAAAAAAAGAAGGGACAATAGAAGACCTACCCTGAAGGGATGTAAAGCTTGGTTTTGGTTGAAATGAGTAAGAGGCTAGGGAATAACATGGATACAATTCAGAATTAGTGAATTCTTTCTGTTCTTAGCATCACACTTGGGTACTACAGCCCCCAGGGGGAAACACTTTTCCCTGTACCAAAGCTGGGATGCTCAGGGCCTTGATTTGTCAGTTTGCACAATTTACTAACTGAAGCATATCTGCTGCTTCAAGCTAGGAGCCCAGTCCTGAAATCTTTGCATACGCAGCTCTCCGGAGAAGTTCTTTCTGCATGAGGACAGCAGTATCAGGTCCCCAGGCTTTCCATTTTCCTTACCCCAGTGGTGGGTTGGGGACGTGGCTTGCTTTTCCATATTCCCCCACCTGTCCCAGAGCAATGAGATTATTTGTGTGTTCAACAATAAGCATGAAACTGCCTTGTTAGAGAAGGGTCCTACCTGCATCACTGTGGAAGAGAAAGAGGAGATAACCGACAAACAGTCTTTTAGCTAGTCATTAACAGGCAAAATTTACATGTCCCTTTATGTAATGCTAATTCCTGATCCTGGTTCATTGTACATAATAGTAAAGCTATAAATGCTGCCACCTGGCAGCACTCACGTCACTTATCACCGTAATGTTTAATGCAGGGACCTGGTGTTTGGAACATTAAGACGGGGCCTCTTGAATATCTATTTTAGTAATTAAAATGCTATTTTTAACAATATTATGGGATTCAAGCCTTTATGAGACCTCCTTCCTAGGACTCAACGTTGTCCCTCAGCACCCAAGAAACAGAATGGGACACAGGACCCTCAAGCCTAGCTAGTTTTCTGAGAAGGACCTATGAGGATGTGTTGGTGGGAAGAGGTTGGGGATTGTGGAGCTAGCCATTAGCAGAACTGGATGCTCCTGCTGCAGACTGCCCCTCAATTCTGGGTTCAGCCCCCTTCTTCATACCAGAAACTCAAGAGCCCAGATGGTTCCTGTTGGTGGGCAGCAGCAGGGGGGTGGCATTCC